ACCCCGGTTAAACTTTACATTCAATTGCGAAGATCAACAAGCGGATTCATGACTTCGTGGAAATTGCGTTGAAGAGTTTGCCGATTTCTAACGTTAGATGTATAAGGTAGGCATTTTGGACAAGAATCGGTTGGAAAGAAACTTTTGGAGTTTGAAAAGCTCCCCCAAGCAGCTGGAATGTTTGTGTGCTTGTTGTTGGTGAATCGTTATTCTTGTAGGTATACCGTGTTGTCAGCACGCGGACTCGTTGGACGGGCCTCCAGGGAGTCGACTGAGCTAGTTGTTGACGCTGTGGAGGCGCTTCCGCCACGTCTACATAAAGTATCGTTCTTTGTTCTGTACAATGACGTTCCGAACTCCGAATACGTGGACCCGGTGGAGGGGCCTCCAAAGGGTCAACCAAGTGAGGGGTTGACTCTGTGGAGGCTCTCCCACCGGGTCCACAGAAACTATTGTTTTTGGTTAGTTGTTGCCTTTGTGATTTCTAGCAAGTTTACATAAAGTCCAACCGGGTCCACAGAAACTAATGTTTTTGGTTAGTTGTTGACCTTGTGATTTCTACCAAGTATACATAAAATATCGTTTTTGTTCTGTACAATTACGTTCCGAACTCCGAATAGGTGGGCCCGGTGGAGGGGCCTCCAGAGGGTCAACCAAGTGAGGGGTTGACTCTGTGGAGGCTCTCCCACCGGGTCCACAGAAACTATTTTTTTTGGTTAGTTGTTGACTTCTTGTGATTTCTAGCAAGTTTACATAAAGTCCAACCGGGTCCACAGAAACTAATGTTTTTGGTTAGTTGTTGACCTTGTGATTTCTACTAAGTATACATAAAGTATCGTTTTTTGTTCTGTACAATTACGTTCCGAACTCCGAATACGTGGACCCGGTGGAGGGGCCTCCAGAGGGTCAACCAAGTTAGGGGTTGACTCTGTGGAGGTTCTCCCACTAACAAGGGTATTAGGGAATATTAAACTCCCACCCCGGTTAAACTTTACATTGAATTGGGAAGATCAACGAGCGTATTAGGGAATATTAAACTCCCACCCCCGTTAAACTTTGCATTCAATTGGGAAGATCAACAAATGTATTAGGGTATATTAAACTCCCACCCCCGTTAAACTTTACATTCAATTGGGAAGATCAACAAAGGTATTAGGGAATATTAAACTCCCATCCCCGTTAAACTTTGCATTCAATTGGGAAGATCAACAAGGGTATTAGGGAATAGTAAACTCCCACCCCCGTGAAACTTTACAGTCAATTGGGATGTTGATGATGTTGATGATGTTGATGTTGTTGCTGATGATGCTGATGATGATGATGATGTTGATGAAATGAGGGAAAAATTCGTCATCCGTTTGCCCAAACGAACGACACGGGGAATCTCACAAAACATTGGCCCTGCGCAGTCAAAACACACTTTCCCGGGCAGCACATCCGTCCTGGCCGTAGTACTACTACTACTACTTCTACTACTACTACTACTACTACTACGACTACTACTACTACGACGACGACGACTACGACTACGACTACTACTACTATCATTCGTATGGCACGTATCTCACTAGAATTTACCAAAGAACAGAAAACATCATTTTTTTCGGGGTTGCGCTTCATCTCGCCTCGATGAAGCACAACCAAGTGCTTGGGAGCACAACCACAGTCATTTATCGCACAAACATGAGCTTGGTTGCGCCCCCAAACGCTGGGTTGCGCTTCATCTCGCCTCGATGAAGCACAACCTTGGAAAAAGATATTTTTTTATCTTCTTTGGTAAATTTATGTCATCCAGACCGTAGCATATTCTAACTTCGCGAAAAACGCGAAAAAAGTATCAACGTCGGAAAAGCGAAAAAGCAAAGCAGCAAAATCTTAAAAACACAAAAGCAGAATAAAAGGAGAAAAAAGAAAGGAAAAACACGGAGAGGCTCAAAGGGAAAAATGAAACAAGAGTTACATTTTTTGTTTTTTCACGCTTTCTTTCAAGTTTTTCGACAGGCAAAATAATCTATGGTCTGGAAGACATAAATTTACCAAAGAAGATAAAAAAAAAATATCATTTTCCAAGGTTGTGCTTCATCGAGGCGAGATGAAGCGCAACCCAGCGTTTGGGGGCGCAACCAAGCTCATTTTTGTGCGATAAATGACTTTGGTTGTGCTCCCAAGCACTTGGTTGTGCTTCATCGAGGCGAGATGAAGCGCAACCCCGAAAAAATGATGTTTTATGTTCTTTGGTAAATTCTAATGAGATAGGTGCCATGCGAATGATATGAATAGGGGTCAGCATGATGTTAACGTTTATGTTCATCGTGGCACACCCAGTGGCGAAATGCTTTGATCCAAACATATCCGACGGCGACATGATGACATGATACACTCCACTACACCACACTACATTTCACTACTCTACATTGCACTGAATGACACTGCACCACAAATAGACAGGTAGACAGATAGACAGATAGACAGATAAACAGACAGACAGATAGATAGATAGATAGACAGACAGATAGCCAGGTAGACAGATAGATAGATGAAAGAGAGAGAGAGATATAGATAGATAGATAGATAGATAGATAAATAGATAGATAAATAGATAGATAGAGGGAGTTTTGAGCGATAGATGGGTGGAGAGATAGAGAGATAGATAGATAGATAGAAAGATAGATAGATAGAAAGATAGATAGATAGAAAGATAGATAGATAGATAGGTAGATAGATAGACAGACAGATAGATAGATAGATGGCTAGATAGATTGATAGATAGATAGATAGGTAGATAGATAGGTAGGTAGAAAGACAGATAGACAGATAGACAGGTAGACAGATAGACAGATGAAAGAGAGAGAGAGAGATAGATAGATAGATAGATAGATAGAGAGATAGATAGATGGCTAGACAGATAGATAGATCGATGGATAGATAGATAGATCGATAGAAAGATAGATAGATAGATAGATAAATATATAGATAGAGAGATAGATAGATAGGTAGATAAATAGATATATATGTATAGATAGATAGATCGATAGATAGATAGATAGATAGATAGAAGGATAGATAGGTAGGTAGGTAGATAGATAGATAGATAGATAGATAGATCAATATATAGATAGAGAGATGGATAGATAGATAAATAGATATATATATAGATAGATAGATCGATAGATCGATAGATCGATAGATCGATAGATCGATAGATCGATAGATCGATAGATAGATAGATATGATTGATAGATAGATAGATAGATAGATAGAGGGGTTATATTTATTGGTAACTGGGGGTGTAAGCGGGGTACATAGACGACAGTCCATTTGGATGACTTAGTAAACCAGAGCTATGAAACATTATAAGTGGTATGACGTGTCCAGTGTTGCTTTCTTGCTTGGCTGTGACGAATTCAGGGCCAACAAATGCCCCACAGAATTACGACCGAGTTTGTGAGCGGAGTAGAAAAACTCGGTCGTATTTTTTTTTTCCTTCTACAATGCCCGAGAAAGGATACTAGGTGTATGTTGCAGACCATGGGGCCAGTTGACTATGGCCACTAACCAGATAACTCCTTTGTATCCATGTATGTTTGTAAATATGTCTGTCTGTCTGTCTGTATGTATGTATGTATGTATTTATGTATGTATGTATGTATGTATGTATGTATGTATGAATGTAATGTTATGTAATGTGATGTAATGTTATGTCACATTAAGTCGTGTAATGTTATGTTATGTTACATCATGTATGTCTGTATGTATGTGATGTAATGTTTTTCACACTAAGTCATATAATGTTATGTTATGTTACACCATGTATGTATGTATGTATGTATGTATGTATGTGTGTATGTGCGTATCTGCGTATGTGCGTATGTGTGTATGTATGTATGTATGTATGTATGTATGTATGTATGTATGTATGTATGTATGTATGTATGTATGTATGTATGTATGTATGTATGTATGTATGTATGTATGTATGTATGTATGTATGTATGTGTGTGTTGTATGTATGTATGTATGTATGTATGTATGTATGTATGTATGTATGTATGTATGTATGTATGTATGTATGTATGTATGTATGTATGTATGTATGTATGTATGTATGTATGTATGTATGTATGTATGTATGTATGTATGATAGATAGAGAGATAGATAGATAGATAGAGAGATAGATAGATAGATAGATAGATAAATAGATATATATATATAGATAGATAGATAGATGGATAGATAGATAGATAGATAGATAGAGAGATAGAAGGATAGAAGGATATAGATAGATAGATAGATAGATAGATAGATAGATAAATAAACAAATAGATGGATAGATAGATAGACAGATAGAAGCATCGATCGATAAATAGATAGATCGATAGCTAAATAGATCGATAAAAAGATAGATAGATAGATCGATAGGTAGATAGATAGATACATACAAGGATAGATAGATAAATAGATAATTACATAGATAGACAACTAAATAGATAGATACATGGATAGATAGATGGATAAGGAGGTAAGTACATAGTCAGAGAAAAAGAAAGAAAGAGATGCGGGCCAGGGGGGAATCGAATGGGGGGGCCCCCCCCCCCTAAGTCTCCGTTCGTGACTCTCGGGTCTCAATTTCCGGGAAAGGAGCAGCCACCTCCCCCAGTACTAAACTAGTACTAAACTACATAGAACTCAGGTAGCCTAGGCTACCTTTCGTGATTATTGGGAAGGTACAGAAACTGAGAGGACTACACAATGTGCAGAAACTGATGAGTTTCTACTCACAACTGGAGTAAGAAAACTAGCAGGTAACTGGTAACCCTTTTGATTGTGGTCATTTGTGCCCTTAGTCACATTTACATATACATCGACATATACATATATCTATAATATATATATATACATACATACATACAGTACATAATATACAGACAGATACATATGTATGTATAGTGTGTGTATATATATATACTACACGTATGTATATATGTACATGCCGGGGCCATCACGGCAAGTTTGGGGAAGCCCATGCCATTCTCCCTCCAGCCTGAAGGGGCCCGCTGGCAAATCGAAAGGAGACGCGCATAAAGAAGCGAACGAAGCGATGTAGCCTGGGTGGCACCTGGCCACACTTTCCAACGCCACACATTTCCACATTTTCCACATCTGAAAGGCTTCTCCAAATGTCGACTGCAGTGACTGCAGCCTATTCTTTTTGTTGTCCAATTGTCCAACGGAAGCACCTCCAAGGTGCTGCTCCACAACGGCTTCTGAAAGGCCGTCCAGGGCCGTTCCTCTGCGAAGCGATACGCGAAGTGCGACGCGCCGCCTGGGTTGACCATGGTTGACCCGGATCCACGACGTGGGGATTTTGAGGTTCGAAAAATGGTGAGTTTAACCCACGAAAATGGATAAAATATGATAAAATGGTGATTTCAAACATGAGTTGAACAATGAGTTGGCCGAAAAATGTGGAAGTTGCATGATGTCACAACCAGGATCTGAGATTTAACAAGTACGAGGTTCTATGGAGTGATTGAAGGCAAAAATTTAAGGGGAATCCCTGAAACTTGGATTTTACCAGCCAAATCAAACAGGAAATGGAAATGGCAGACCGGGCACCCCCCAAAAAGTGCTATTAATGTGATGACTAACCACTGGAGTTTGGTATATTTGGACAAACCCAAACGGCTAAGTGATGAAATGATACCCAAATCATCCACATGGCCTGAAAACTCGAGACCACGGTCGCCAAGCACGACTGCCTCAGCCAAAAGCGCAGTGAAGTTCCAAAGGGTATGACCCAATTGCTTCTGTCCAAAAAAAAAAGAGTTTGATACCCAGAATAGAAAATCAGGTACCCCCCCATTTCCAAGCCATCTCCAAAGCCGCACTTTGCTGCACAGGTCCTAACACCCTTCGACCCCCAGCCGAGGCGACGGGCATTGGACCCAATGGGCTTCGGCAAACGATCTTCCGAGGGACACACCTCGGGCTGATCGACAGCTTTGGCTCGTAGCTGGTTGGACTTTTCGCACATAGGCGAGCCATGAAAAATGCCCCTCCCGTTATACTAGTTGGTTCATAGGTTTCCCTATTGTGGGTTAGCTCACTGGCTCTACAATCACCCAGGCAGTATAACCCTTGTATTAACCCATCAACAGCGGTATCTTCACTGGCTCAAATAAACTCATAACCGTCATAACCATTCTGGGCCCCTCAACCGACGGCCAATGCAAAGCTGCACGAGCTACTGGCACCTCGCATTGGACAATGTCGGTCCCTTGGGAGATAGCGGCTATGAGTCAAACCCTGGTACCGGGATGGTACCCTAAAATAGCTGGTTTTTGTGAATGTTCATACCCCCAAATATGGTCATAATAGGTTTTGACCCATCCAAAAAAATGGGGATGTCTGGAAATAAAGAATTAAATGATTAAGCCCCCCAATGGCCATCATTCATGGGGAAAATGTTGATCCACATCTTTCCAGGCTGTTGTAACTTTGGGACCCTGGTAGTTGTTCACCGCTTGAAAATAACATCAGCAATGGACCCCAACAATGATGTGGTTTCCCATTCAAAAGGACGAATCACTCGAGGATCACAAACTCAGGGGCCCCCCCATTTTAAGAAATGCTCTAATTGACGAAATCCGGAAAAGTAATGTGATTGAAAAAAAATAATGCTGTTTTTTTTTTCAGTTTGTTTTCCCCAGGGTAGCCTTCCCTAACCAATCCCAATTTCCACCCCGAATTCCCAACGGCACTGCTGTGAGATCGATGCGCACGGGCCAGCACTTCGCCTCATTTTTCTGTGCAGTCACAATGCCAAAACTCACCAACCATTTTGGGAATACTTGTTGCGAAATTCCTGTCTATTGGGAAGAATATTGGGAACACTTCCCATGAACCAAATCTTGCATAATATTGCCAACTGAATTGGTGGATGGGAAGATCTGAAGGAAATTCCTTTAGATGTTCCGAAGCCAATCCAGTGATTCTTGGGCGGCGGATCGTCCTCAAAATCCACCCAACCATCCAAGAAAAGACTGAGGCCTAGCCAATCATCACATAGGGAGTTCTTAAAAATGCCAAGGCCCCAAACTCCTATATATATATACAACATACGATACATATATATATATACGTTCATATATTATATGTGTATATAGTGTGTATATATGTATATTATATTACATATAATATAATATATATATATTACATAATACATATATATATTACATAATTCATATATTATGTATATAATATATAATATATTATATATTATATATTATATATTATATATTGTATATTATATATGTATATATTATATATTATATATTTATACACATACATTATGTATATGTTATGATTATTATACCACATAAACACCAAGCAAAAACTATGGCGCCGGCCTCGGAGACTTTGGAATCCACCTGACTGGAGACCACATCCATAGAGACGAGGTCAAAGACAATGTCCACCTGGAGATCAGATCGCATGGGCTCGAAACAAGGGAAATAGGGCAGAAAGAACTTGTCGGAAACAACTTTGGGATGTTGATATACTTGATTTATCTTGATCAATGTTGAATCTCAAGTGATGTGATTTAAGGTGTAAGTCAAAACAAGAACTTGAATGGTCAGTCCTTGAAGTTGCCAAATGTGTACATACAACGACTTGGGGAACGGTAAGTTTTACTCCCGCACTCTGCCTGATGATCTTTCCCTGAGAGCAGACCGTGCAGGAAGGCCTCCATGGGTGCTTGGCTGTCGATGAAAGCATCCCATCAATAGGTCATGTTTCGCACACCGAAGGATTTGTTTCTGGCTTTGACACTGCAAGGCAATGACTATCACCTTCTGAGGTTTGCAAAGAATGAAAAAGAGCTGAGCATTAGCATGAGACAAAACTCTAGCGAAACCTCATGCTTGTCTTTGGCCCTTCGCAAAGTCTTGGGAAAAGGCTGGAAGAAGCAAAGCAGAAACGTTATCACTCTTTCAAAGCACCATAAAGTCGCCGTTTTTTGATCAAGAAAATGGCATCACTCACATGGGTCCATGAATACGGGAAGACTGGTCTTTGGTCTGCAAAAAGCTCCGTCGCCGCACAGACTCTGAAATCGGCCCATCATCGACTGTTTTGCACTTGAATGATCCATCTTTCCAACAGTAATTTGTCTGGGCCCAGGGCACCCTGTCTCCGGCTTCAAAATCGCGCAGATTGTAGCAACCTGAAGTACTCACCACTCCGATTTCGTTTCAAAACATCATGCTGGCCCTTCTGGACCATCTTCCCATTTTTCATCACCATCACCTGGTCGGATTGCTCAGCAAGGGTCACCCGGTGCGTCACCATTAGGATCATCATGCTGTGCTCCTTTGCCAAGCGTTTCATCGTTTCGAAAACGTCCTTCTCTAACTCCACATCCAAAGCACTGGTGGGCTCGTCCAAGAGCAACAGCTCCGGCGGATTGCAGATCACACGCGCCAGGCCTATCCGCTGTCTTTCGCCGCCGCTTGGAAGCCAAGTGGCTCCGACATCTCCATGGCCATCACGAATGATGCTGTTCAAGCGCACGATCCGATGCATTCACCTGGTGCAAACAGCTGATGATGGTCTGATTGCTCAAATTCCGACCCACCGCGACATTCTCCCGCAGGCTGTCCGGGAACATTGGAACAACCTGTGGTAGCAAGGCAACCGAGCCTCTTCCGTGAATCTGGCCACTGAATTCCGACTCTCTTCCCGCAAGGGCCCGCAAAAGAGTAGTTTTTCCAGAACCGCTTGCGCCTACAATTGCCACCAACTGTTTGGGCACGACCTTGAATGAGATGTCTTGCAATAGGGGCTTGTTGTTTCTCTTGAGACATAAATCCACAACATTTAAGCTGTTGTGTGGTCGGCATGTTGTTCCCTTGGTTGGCATCGGATTTGGTGCAGTTTCCATGGTCAGTTGGTTTATTGTCCTTATGGTCTCACCACATTCCCTCATTTCAATGAGACCTTGGAGCAAATCTCGCAGCGACAATGCCAAGTTGATTGATATGACAAACGACGCATGGTAAACTGCAAATGGAAATTCCCCTTCCATGACAGCAACGCCAAGGAGGAAGTGAATCGCCATCAAGTTCCCGTTCTGTCGCATGCTATCAAGAGTTTTCCACAGCTCCCGCTGCTTGCCGTGTTCAAGTTGTTTCTCAATTCCAGTCCACATCACCTTTTTCAGCTTTTTTGCCCTCTCCAGCGTTGCATGGTATGCCCTTGTTTCCTCTGCCACGTTGACTTCAGCAACTACGACATTGGCAACTTCTCTGGATGCCCTTGTGGCGTCACGTGCTGCTGGTCCCACCTTGCCTTGCAACAGCACACTGATGCCGACCCCAACCACAACGATGAGCATAAGTGTCCCAAAGATCCGCTGAAAGCGCGCATTGCCCCTGCGTACCAGTCGCCAGATAAAGCACGAAAAAACGACACAGCCAACTACTCCACGCAAAAACTTTTCTGATATATTCGTAAGCTTGTCGAGCTCCCCAGTAAACAAAGAGGCTGCTGCTCCCTCTGGAAAGGTACCCGAGTCCAAAACTCTTGGAAATGCAGCTGTCTGGAGCGAGAACTTGACATCATTGCTTGTCTTCAAAGCGCTGAGCTGGTAGGCCCAATTGCACAGAGGTGACAGTAGCAGGACCACCATAACTTTGCGCATGCGAGGCCAGAACTCCGACCTGTTTTTGGCTATGAAACAGTACTGCGACAGTTCTCCGACAAATTGTTTCTCCAATGCTGTGAACAAGCAAATGGCCACCGAGAAAACCATCATCAACATCAAGCCCGTTTTGTTGCAGCTCACCAGCCGCATCAGTCCCCGCGGGCCCAGCAGTGGCGTGCCATCTGCCAAATGCCCAGCGAGCATGGCAGGTCTCGCGTGCTGTGGCAAGTTGGAAGCCATGGGCCTCGATGGAGCAGCCAAGGTAAAGGCCAGCGATGCACAGGCAGCCACTGCACCAAGCAGGACAAGCGCAAGGCTTGTCGTCCTACGAGCCATGGCTGCTGGGCTAGCAAGAAAACCGGGGCTGAAGCAAGCTGAAACGGCCGCAGCAACCATCGTTTTCCGTTCATCCAGAATCATTCACTGACCAAAGCTCCATCTAGTGAAGAGGAGGCTGGGTTCCAACTCCACTCCTACCATGTTTTCAGATGGCACCTTTCCTGAAAACTTGTGTTTCTATACAGATCTTTGTTTCCAGATCCCAATTCTGCCCCCAACTTTCACCTTGGTGTCTTCGCCACCGGCTCCAAGCATATTTCGCCTGGCGGAAAGTTGAATCACAAGGCTACAACCGCCTCAACTGCCAAGTTTCACCATATCTTTTTGCCATCAAATATGACTGAGCTACATATTTTTACAATCCCACAACTAGCACAACTACACTTTCCTGATAAAAATGACCATGATCTCAATTCTATCTCCATGATTCCCATAAACATATACCCTCTGGTATTTTTTCACAGTTTGCTATTGAAAATGGCCATAGAAATAGTTGATTTACCTATTAAGAATGATGGTTTTCCAAGGCCCACGCACCGCTCAAGCTCGCCAGGTGGACCCCAGGAGAACGCGAGTGCCTCCTTTGGCAGAATCTCCACGGCCTCCAGAGAAAATGATGCTGAACTTTTACACTTGTCTGCATCTATATTATATTTATATCATATTTATATTATATTATATTATATTATATTATATGTATATATATATCATATATCATATATATATCATATATTAGATAGAAGATATATGTAAGTATGTTTGTTTCCTGCTAATCTCTTGTTGCCGCTTGTTGATTCTAAGCCCTCAAAACCTGCGAAGCTGGACCACGATTTCACCGTTGCAGCCAGGTGGCGAAAGATGTCCACTGCCAAAGTGGTGGGCGTGTCTCTGTGCACCTGGAGTCATCTTGGTGGTTGGAAATTTATGGAAATTTGCCATAGACAACTACCATTTGGGCATGGGAAAAATACTAGTTTGTACTAGTTTATACCACCCTTTCATGGTAATTTTGAAGGTTTACCGCATAAAAAAAGAGTTGCTTTCTGCTTTCAAGACTTGAAAAAGGGCCCCTTGTCTGGCCCCGCAATATTTTGTCAACATGTTGCCATGTTTCGCGGTTTTCGGAATCCTGTTGTTGCTATGTGTAGGGTCAAAATCATTCACCACAACAAATGGATAATTACAATAGTTGAATCTAAACTGCCACTTTTGAGACTGCCCCGCTCGACTCATACCCATGTGATGCAACCTAATGAACTAAGAACCTGCCTCGGTCTGCAGTGTCAGCAAGGAGTCTGTAGCGACATCCAGCCGAACAACATGCCTCCCAGTTGAAAACAAAAGGGTAACCCCTGCGCGCAATGATCATCGGGATACGGATAGCCAAATCGATGCTTAGATTTTCGGGGCAACCATGAGACTTGTGCAACAAAAACTCAAAAAAGAAAAACATAATATGAGAAGAAAGACGAAGAAAGGAAGGATTTCGACGGATGAAACTTTCAGGAGACGCAAAAAGACTCGCATCCAGTGCCATTTCGTTGCTTTCACCCAGGCCATTGGTCCACTGGTCCATCAAACCCCATTGATCCCCTAAAATATCACTTCAGTGAAGAGCATCCTTCCCTAAAATGGCCAGAACTGTATTACATGATTACATGGCAATGGAAAATCTCCCCATCATTTTCCCATTAAAACCATTTATGCAAAGATTCCAATTGCTGTTTTCCCATTCACCTACCCTCTCCACAGCATTACTGGCCTCTTGACAGTGGAGGGTAGACCAAAAACGTCGTGCACCTGCACCTGGCTCGGTTGCTCGAATCGGTGGCGTATCAATGGGGTGATTCAAAGCAAAAGTTACAGAAACCAATGGTGATTTTTCTAAGGTTATTCTCCATAATGATTGGTCTATGGTTATTTTTGACCACAAAATCCATGGCTATTCTATAAATTGTCCCTTGTATGGTCTGCATGACCAATAACCATGGGGCAACATGGCTGCAATCGTCATCCAGCAGGCTGATCCTCAAAGCTGAGGAAAGGAGTTCCCCCCATGAGTTCATTTGACTCATAATTGTCATAACTACATCGTTTTTTTGATTTCTTTGATTTCATTTATCAATGACTATTACAGTATATGATAATGGACATTATTTAATGGACAAACGACCAGCATTTCACTTGGATCACCATGACTTTACCCAAGCCCTGGTGCTCTCCACCTCGCCAGTGTAAGTGGTAAAGGCACGGCTTTCCAACCTGGGAAGTCGTCACTTGGTAATCAAACGTGGCTGGAAACTGCCATGGGTAAATGGAGCTATTCATGGGAAATTCATCGATGATCAACGGTGGATTTGCCAGCCGCGTTTGATTACCGGTATGTACAGTATCTGAATGTTTTTGTTGGCGATGGCTTAATCGTTTCTTGGTTGTCCATTTCCACTTTCATGAGTGCGAGGCTACCCCTATTTCCAGCGGTTCTCTATCGCATATTCATCAGATTGGCTGGGGTTGGTTTTTTGAACAGGGTAGCATCGGGTAACATTCGCATCTGCAGGGCCTAGGCGGCCTATGCAGGTGCGCCATGAGTAAGGAGGATGATCCTTGATGATTCAGAAGGGGGAGAAGGAGGCTGCCGGAGGCTTGTCCATTGCACTTTAAGCCTTGGACCATCCCATCCTTTTCCTCGCCATTGCCAAATCTCCGGCTTCAGAAACAATCCCTGGGGGTCGTCCTACAGGACGCTTCGCGGTCCGAGACGTCTCAAGCTCCAAGTGTCAGTCCGGGAAGCAATAGCATCACCCGGACTTCCCAGCAGCATGGGACCAGAATCACAATCAGTGCGAAGCATGATCTAGTCGTCCATCATCACACTGACCCCCTCGATGCCTTGCAAGCTGCAGTGCTGTCCCAAGAAGCATTTCGCCTGCTGGTTGGCAGAAGGGCCCAAGACTTGCAAGCGGCCAGCGGGAACTCTCCGGCAGGTCCATGAATCGTGGCAGGTGGGCCTCCTTGAGGGCCCTCATCACACACTGGTATGCATTTACAAGGCTCGGGCAACAGCGGCTGATGTTCAGGCCTCACAAGCAAACACAGAGAACACCATTTCAGATCTGACCGATGACGATGGGCATCATGGCATCCTTCCCCCTTGAGGGTCAAACCAAATCGCCCGATTTCAGCCTGAAAACGCTGGCCATTCATCTGGACGGGTTCCAGAATCAGTATCTCAAAGCTGCCATGCATGGTCCCCAGTTCCGTGGCCAGAGGACACAGCGAGGTGTATCTGAAGGACTCCCCAGGTCTCAACATGGGTTGTTGCCCGACGACGCCGTAGGCCTTGGGCCCCACCTGAAAAGTCTTGCCTGTGGCATCCGTCACGATCCAGTGACGGCTCAGCACCTGGATCAACTGCTGAGATTCGTTGGAGATGGTTACCTGAGTTGGAAAAACGAATCTGTATACCAGTTGTATCAGTTGTACAACGAGGAATATGCAAAAGCTGTCAAGCACACCAAAAATGTGCACAACAATTGGGATGGTACAAAAGCACACCAAAAATATCCCAAAACGTTCACAAAAACCTCTCCAAAAGATCCCCAACACATCCAAAAAGCATCCAAAGAAAACAGTCCAATGTCCAAGAGCTTCCAGGTGACGGCATATTTCCATTGCCAATGCTTCTTCTCAGGTCGCGAGGTCAGAGCATCGTAGGAGCTTGAGGCCTCGTGATATCTCCATCTGAACCAGCCCAAATCCATTGGGTTTTACCCTTTTGGTTTCCATTCATTTCAAGCATCGAAGATAGAAGATGTTCCCCAACATGGGTGGGTGGAGAATATCGTTTTCTTTCCTCGTTTCCTATGGCTTTCTAGAATGGGGGATATACCTGCAAACACATTGTTTCGACTTCAACACATCCTACCCCCATGTTTCCTTGTCCGTAAAGTGGGGGTTTACTCCGTTTCAACTGAGGAAATGATGTTCTTGAACAATAGAAATGTATGTTCTGGGGTTGCACTTTTTGGGGGTATCAACGTCTATGCATGGCGCAGATTGGGGTTCTAAGAGCCTGAATTAGCGATGTTTGAGCTCCAGCAATCATCTGACACCTTCTCACCCATCTTTCCGTTTTCCAAGGCACAAATACCTTGACTCCCTCCGTCACGCACTCGCTAGTGGTGGGCCAAGGAATTCGATGCTCCTCCTCCTCCTCGCTTGCACAAAGATGTACCAGCAAGTGGTGCAAGTGGTGCAAACGCTGAGCTGGAGCCATGGCAAGATTGGCAAGTCGCAAATGGATAGATTCGTCAGGACCTTACGGTGACCTTACCAACATATTTTTTAGACACCTGGGACACCTGGGACACCTGGGACACCTGGGACACCTGGGACACCTTGTACATCGACATCCAAAAGTCAATGGCACAGCAGTGAACAAAGAAATGTCAGAAGGAAAACATTGGAAGAGCGTCTTGGATATGGCAGTGGGTCAAAACCTTGTACCCCTTCTGTTCACATCAAAATAGCTGGGATTTATGGATGTTCATCCCTCTAAAAATGGTATTTTCATAGGTATTGATCCATACCCATATCTTGATCTGTTTGATCTGTTGAGGGGAAACTAGACTTCGTGAGCTCGGAGCCCTTGCAGCAAACAGACTGGTTCTGCTGTTCCAGTTCCAGATCTGATCTGCGTGGCTGTCGCCATTGGCATCTTAAAGATCGCGTCCAACAGGGAAACCCTCTTCTCACGGCAAATTTCTTGGGGACTTCCATGTGTCTTTTTGGAAATCCGCAAACAGTTGGGACGCCAATCATCTGCAACGCACTGAGGCTCACACGAGCTGGGGAGCAACGTGTGTTTGCAGGCCTTTACCTCGTACTCCAAAAGTTTGGCCTTCGCGTGGCTAAAGGGCCACTGGGATCAGTGCCCAATGGGTGGATATCCCATTTGCAATCCATTTGCCACTTTCATGGGGATCACCATGAAAGTTGCGCAGGTGACCAGCTCGAGGCTCCCGACATCCTGTGGCGCCTCGCCTGCGCAAAGGACCTGAGCGGTAAATTGAACACGGCTAGTGCGAATCACCACAATGAGCAAAACATGGTCCAAGTCATGAATTCCACTGAAGCATAATTGTTTCAGGGGAAACTCCAACAAACTTCAAGTGACAAGTCTCCCAATTTTTGTCCCTCAAATAGGGTTGTGAACCACTATACTGTGACTATACTATATACTTGAGCAGGGCGATCACCCCAAGTTTCCAACCAAACTGTCGCACCCAAGCGACCAAAAATATCAAGAACATAGTTTCATCTATTTCCAGAATCCTGAGCAACTCTGGGAAAACTTATCTAGGTTCGTCTGAAACTTGGGTATCCACGGGTATCCCAAAATTTGAAGGTTAATCATCATTTTCCCGAAGAAAAACTGATGATTTTCAGGTCCCGGAAGCCCCCATTGATAGACGAACCCATCTCAACAACCTGAAGGTTGAGACACAGGTCCCAATCTCCCAGCGATGCAGTGCGCATCTGGGGCCCGTTCCAAAGCTGTCCATGCCAATAGGCGAACCACTGACATACCAGGCCCATGCCAAGATGGGAATCTCTGTGGCGGATCAAAGCTTTTTTTCGGCTGCCGGCTGACCATGTCCGAAGCGGGAGCATTTCCCCGATCTTCCCCCGATATTTACCGATGATTCTAGTGGGATGCCTGGCGCAAACCGCTGGACAAGTCTTGCCTGGTGAGAATGGATGACTCCTAGACCCAGCAGTCTGATCAAAGCCTGTGTACAATAACTTGACGATCATCTTTTTTCTGTTTGCCATTCCAGCCGTTGCAAATCATCTGAAATATCCTACTGAGTACTGCAGCTATTCGAGATGATGTGGGGTATGTTCCAAGCCAAAATGTCACAGGCGGTACAGCCCTTTGCGCACTCCTGAGAGCAGTTGTTTGTGCAAGCCTCACTTCATGGTTGCACCACCTTGTGCCCTTACACCTACCTCTGGCAGAATGTGTGCGTGTGTGTGCGAGTTCTCTCAGTTTCTCAGGTACCTTCTGAGGGAAAAAAATCAACAGAAAGTCCACCATGTATCCATGATTTACCCTTGCAACACCACATAGATTGCTCCCAATTTGTTACAGGTACAACCCAACTTTCAGAAGCTGAGATCCTGAACAGCACCTTTTTGTCTAAGCTATGACAATCCCTCGCAGAACGAAGCAGCGAAGGACGGAAAACCAAACACCTCAGGGCCCAAAACTGGTGCTGAGCCGAAAAAGTCTGGGAACCCCGAGATACCACCATTTTCCCATTTTCCGCCATTTTCCGCTTTAGACGAGATACTCAAACAGTAGACCCAAAGTTTGCCAAAATTCTGCATTGCCATGACCCAAGGTCCAAAATAAATAAAATTTGCACCGGAGCTGGGACTGTTACTGATTACTGATTCAGTGTCATTTTCATGCCCGAAACCATTCAAGATCTGAAGCTATTTGTTGCTCTCGAGGGCATCTTCCATTTTGGGCCTGACCGGGGTATAACCGGAAACTGCACGATTGTATTCAGAAACTGGGAGTTCGATTCAGCCAAGGAACTATATAGTTTCATATAGTTTCTTAGATGTTAATCCCCAACAAGACCCCAAGCAATACACAAAGAGACTTCCTGAGGTCACAAACCAGCAGCCAATGATTGTAGCCGCACTCCGCTCGCCTCAGAAATACTGTCGGTTTACATAACATGGTCTACTTTTGGAGGCTTCACTATAACTGTCCTACTTTGATATGCACCCTATTTAGTAAGTCAGTGACAACCCTGTTATAGACCAGCTAATATAATATGTGGGATATATATATATGGATATACGGTATATGGGTTGATAGTTGATTACACACTTAACTGGGATGCGCCCCCAGGAATGATGAAAAAAAAACTTTCTACAGATCAAAACTGGGCCATTTGGGTAAAGTTCAGGGCGAATCTTATCCACCAACAGCTGCGATTTTAAGGGTGAATCTTAACCATCTCTTAGAGCCCTGGGGGTTGAATTCCCATGATTCTTTGGTGGGGAAAAAAACTCACCACCCAAACACGCAGCCACTTCTGTACCGAGCTACTTCACGGTGGCACCTTTGGCCTTGAGCCCTGCCACCAATGTGGAACCTGAAAACCATGCCACATTTTTTCCACGCATGGCGACGGATGGCGACGCGTGGCAAGCACAAATGCACAAAGCATCAAAAAATCATGGTTTAAAGTTTAAACATCAAAAACATGATTTGACATTCTGTAACCTGATCAAAAAAAACAAAAACAACGGTTTGACATGCGTTAACTATCTGGAAATCGGGATATGTAGCTAATATCTTTGATGTTAGATGTCCCCCGTGTGAGCCACCTAAATGAATAGGGCCAGCACTATACCACAAAGTTCGTTTGGCGATGTTCCGTCTTTGGGGGAGAGGATGATTTCCGCACACAAATACTGACTGCATCAAGAGACCGGGGGGTCAAATGACATCTGCAAAGTTCCTGTTGACGTTTCTCTCCCAGAATTGTTTGCAGGCAAAATCTGCCGGAAACCGGTATATTTCGTGGTAAAAACTTTGGTTTCCTATAGATTTTCCCTTAAACCAGCCCATTGATTCGAATCCCACCGACATGCCCCACTGTCAAAGAGGATCTCTTCAAAGATCGGAAGACCCATGAGCTCCTTGCTGTGGGCTGAAGTATGCGCCGTATAACGCTGGATGTTGATATATGAGGGTTTTTTTTAATTGGGGATCGCCAAGTCACCATTGGTTTCAATGTATACTAAAATGCTCTAATGACTGGATGATGTGGGGGTACCCCTTTGACTTAGGAAACCTGCATATTATCAACACCTTCAAAATGAACATCATCCACACGAAACCACTGAATCTAGCGCATGTTTGAATTCAATGAACCTTTGTCTACACTTCCTTTCACCTTGCTGGCGACGCAAATCTTCGGAGACCACCCCACCCCCATGGCCCTGGCGTATCCTTCTTGGCATTCAGGACCCACCAAGCACAGTCTGGATCCAGATCCTTTTGCTGTTTCGTTTGCAGAACTGCCTAAGTTCACGGCTGCGTTTAAGTACCCGGGCAAGGATCAAAAGCGTGTTGCAGCTTCCTGGAGAAAGTTTAGAGCATAGCATCAAGAGCATGTTACAACTTCCTGGAGAAAGTGAGAAAGTTCCGCGTGTAGCGTCAAGAGCCTGTTGCAACTTCCTGGAGACAGCATCATGATCAGAACTTGGCTGGAACAGAAGCTTTGCCACGGTTTAAGGTACGGTGTTGGTCGTTGGTTTCCTGCTTGGGGCCCCTCCTTCAGCACCCCCGGGCACCACATCTGGCGGTGGGATGGAAGGTGTAGAGGTGGAAGGCGAAGAAGGGGCAACCAAGAAGTTCGACCCGGTGGTTGAGCCGGAGACGGGAGTGTTACCAGTCATGTGGAGACTGTTGGGCCAGGTCCACATGCTCTTGGTTCGTGGGATGCCATGTGGATTTTTCATCGGGACAAATACGGTTTTACTCCCAGAAACGGGGGTTTCATTAAACATGGAAATGGCGTGCAAAAATTGAAATCTCCACAAGCAATGATTGGGTTTAGCGATGAGAAACAAGTCTTGAATTCGATTGGGAAGGTTTACTGTCACAAAAGAGGTTGAACCAACAAACATGGCGGGGGTGGACCAAACCAAAAAAAAGATCCAACTCAACCAAAAGAAGAGTCTGTGTCAAAATTGGCTGGCCCACAGCGATTCACGCAGCTGTCATGCAGATTTCATCTACTTTTATGATTTTTGTTCGGAATCATTTATTTCGCATACAACCAATACCGTGCAGTCGCAAGGTGTGTATATATATATATATTACTATATGATATTTTCATTTTCGCTGCAAGGGGCAGGACAGTCTCGCCGCATTTCGATGTATTGGACGTGGTTTTTTTTTCAATGTTTTCCAATGTTTTTTCTTTCTATAAATCTTTGTTGGTTGGAATTTCCTCGAAGAACCTAAAGCACACTCATGATGCTACGCTTTGAACTTGCTCCAGGAAATTGTAACACGTTCTTGGTGCTACGCCCTTTACTTTCTCCAGGAACCAATGGACGCATCATGTCGTTTGAGGCGACAGGGAGACATTGGTTTTGCGCATGTATGTATGTATGTATGTATGTATGTATGTATATTTGGATTTTTTATTTATTTACCTCTTCATTCTTCATTTGATTATT